CTCTGAACCTCCAGTTTGTCCCCCTTCCTTCCCAATGTTTCAGACTTCTTCACACCTCCCCCAACATACACGCCCTCTCTGCATCTGGAACCGTCTTCTCCCTCCTTTTTTTTTTCTTTTGGCTTTTCGAGACAGGGTTTCTCTGTAGCTTTGGAGCCTGTCCTGGAACTCCCTTTGTAAGACCAGGCTGGACTCGAACTCACAGAGATCCACCTGCATCTTCCCCCTCCTACCCAGTTACCTGCTCCTCCTCTTCTCAGGAGACACCTCAGTCCCACAGAGAATCCTGCCTTGCTCCGCCAGCCCCAGAGCTGCCCAGGATCTTCATTTCATTGTGGTTTAGATGGGATTGGCAAGCAGAGGCCTGACGTTTCTTTCTATAAAGTTTCCTTGAAATGTATCTACTTATTCCTTTACATACATGCCTTGTAGAACCAGACAAGGTCTGCTGTGTAGCCCAGATTGGTCTTGGGCTCACAGTTCCTTGTGGCTGTCCTATCTGTCCCCCATTCCCTGGGCCTCAGCTCCCAGTGATGTGAATGTCATCACACCTGGCACTCTTTCCTTTTCTTATTCCTAGGGATTGACCACAGGTCCTCGTGCCTGCTAGATCAGTGTCCCACCATTGATGTGTGGGCTCTGTGCTAACCTCAGCCCGCCCTTCTTTTCTGCTGTTGTTGGGGGGGGGGGGCTAGCCTTGACCTTGCAGTGTTCCTGATCCTCTTCCTGCCCTCCCCAGTGCCCAGCCCTGCCGAGCCCTTTGTTTTATTTTGACACAAGGTCTCCCTCCCTAAGGTCTCCAGCCTGGCCTGGAGCCAATCCTCCTGTCTCAGCCTCCAAGTAGCTATGCCACCAGGCCCAACTGCTCTGTCTTCCCCTGACCTTCCAATGGGGTGAGTTCTCCAGCCTTCTGAGGACCGTATGGTGTCTTTCCTATCCAGGAATGCTTGGTGCCGTGCTCAGGCTTTTGTTTGCTAGCTTTGCTTTCTGTTTTCTGTGGCCATTTCTTCTGTTGCCACCATCACAATGGGCCCTGGCTCACCCCAACTCAGAGTGTATGAGTCTGGGCCCTCAGTGAGCTCAGATGAGGGAACCAGCTCCCAGAAGTCTTGGCTCAGAGAGAGGCCCTGCAGGGCTCACTGTGGTAAAGCTGGGAGCCGGAGTGAGAAAGATATCCCATTTGGCCCTTCAGAAGCTTCTGGGTGGGTCCTTGTCTAGGGCAGTGAGCAGAGGTTGTTGGCTGAGGGACTGAGTTCTCCATGGGGTGTGTCTGTGGGACTCCCAGGGCCTCTGGGAGTGACCTTGGCCTCCAGCTGGGCCCTCCTGGACGGTCACCTTTACACTTTATGCTCACACTCTGCACCTGGCCTGAGGCCAGCTGTTTCTTTCCCAGTGGCTGGAAACGGATTAGCTGGGTGGGAGAACAGAGGCGCCTTTGTGCGGGCACCGTGCTTCTGAGAATTTAGAGCGAGCATTCAGAGGGAGTCTTAGGCCCTGCCAAATTATGCAGATTTGGGTTTTCTCAGTAGGGTTTCCCATGAGCAGGCATGCAGGCAGCTCCGTAGCTTTCTCATTGCTGTGGTCTGGAATTTCCCTCAACATGTTATGCAGGCGTCTGCTATTGGTTGTTCTGAAGTAAACAGTTTAGTATACGAGTAATCCTCACGACTTTTCGCGAGATTTTGCCAAAAACTCCTGTTTCAATGGATTCATTTCTCAGACCAAACTATAAAGCACATTTCTGCCAAAGGGCACAGCACAGACTCCTTGTGAGAGGCTATGGGTGGGGGATGCCAAGACATGGTGTCCCTGGTCCTGGTCACACACCTGAGAAGAGGAGCCAGACACTCCCACCCTCTGAGGTGCCCATACCTGACCCGCATGGTAGGAACCTGGAAGTCACCTGTCCAGTCAAGAAACCTGGGTTCACCTCGTCTCCGATTATTCTGTACTCCTAATCCCCTGGACTGGGAGCTGAAGATCATGATGGGGTGTTCCTGGCCGTGGGGCAGGCCCTGTGAGGAGGCAGCCATTGCACAGGGCCCTGGCTAGCTCTAGCCTCCAGGGAACATGGATCTCAGCTGGGTATTTTGGGGGATAAAGGAGCACATTAGAGGTTTGGGCTTTTTGAGACAAAGTGCCATGTGGCCCAGGGTGTCCTCACTGGGAAACTGAGGACGATGGACTTGGGTTCCTGATTCTGCCTCCACATCCTGTACTCCTGTGACTGAAGTATACTTTGTTAATTGACCATTTTCCCAGTTAGTTTTGACTTGGACTATTGCTTGGTTGGTTGGTTTAGATTTTGCTTTGTTCTTTGAGATAAGGTCCCTGGCGCAGCGCAGCCTGGGCTCCGTGTTCCCTCTGAGCCTCTCAAGCCTCTGGAGTCTAGGCCTGCGCGCAAGCACCAAACCCAGCCCTGCCGTGGCCTTCAGCCCTCCTGCTGCTCATTTCCTTTTCCTTGTTGCCCTTCAGTCCCGGTGTTTCTGTCACCTGGTGACAGCGGTGTCTAGGCTCAGTGTCTCTAGCATGTGACAGACTGGCTGGCGTGAGGAATTAACTCAGCTGCAGGTGCACAATTAGGCGGCACATGTTTTTGTTGTTACTTAATAGGCATCAGCATTTCTTCTTTCTGTTTATCTAGCACGTGTGCCGCAGTGCGCATGTGGAGGTCAGAGGACAGCTGCGGGAGTTGGCGCTCTCTACTTTATGGGCAGCGGGGCTCAAACTCAGATCATCAGGCTTAGCAGCAAGCACCCTAACCTCTGGGCCATCTCACCAGCAAAAACAAAACAAACAAAACCCAGAGTTTTACCTGAAAAAAATATGGCTTTCCATCGTGGGGGAGGGGATGTAGTCTTTACCACCCACCACCCCAGTCTGTCATAGCACTGGGGTCACACTTCTGCTTCTGCTGCAGCAGGAGGTGACAGAGCGAGAGCCCATGGGGCAGAAGGGAGTTTTGTTTGCCAAGAGACAAGTGTTCTAAGTATTTGCTGCCTTCTTGCTTCCCTTAATTAAGCTGTGAGTGTTGATGCGTGGGTTAGGTCCCTTCCCTCCCACCCTTCCAGGCGCTGGTGCCAAAATTGAACCCAGGGCCTCACCAGTTTGAGGCGAGTGCCCTTCCTGCCTGCCACACCCTAGCCATCTTGCTCTCTTGATTCCCTTGAACTGCATGCCCGTTGCCTTGTCCTTGTTTGGGATGTAATAACTAGACAGAGTGGACGTGTTTTAAACAAACGAAAGAGAACATAATCTAAAGGGGCTGCTGGAAGTGGACATGTTGGGACAGCGCTATAACCCTGGCACAGCAGAGGCGGGAGGATGGCTCCAGTTTGTTGTATGTAGTGAGTACCAGGCCAGCCTAGGCCGCAGAGTGAAACCATATCTCAAGTTGGTTTTTTGTTTGTTTTCAAGACAGGGTTTCTTTGTGTGGCCCAGGCTGTCCTGGAACTTGTTCTGTAGACCAGGTTGGCCTTGAACTCACAGAGATCCCCTGTCTCTGCCTCCTGAGTAAGTGCTGGGATTAAAGGCATGCCTGGCACAAGTGATTTTTATTTGGGCTGGAGAAATAACTTAGCCATTAAGATCTGTCTATTCTTCTAGGGGATCCAATGCCCTCTTCTGATCTCTGGGGGCACTAGATACATATGTGGCATACATACATAGATGCAGGCAAATTTTCCATAGATATATAAATATTTTTCAATTAAAATAAAATAATATGTTTTGAGAAGGTTTCATGTAGCCCAGGCTGCTGTTGAACTCACTATGTAGCTGAGATTGCCCCTGAACTCCTCATCTTCCTGCCCCTGCTGCGCCGGGGCTAGGATTGCAGGTGCGAGCCACTACGTCTGGTTTAAGATTACGTGTGTGTGTGTGTGTGTGTGTGTGTGTGTGTGTGTGTGTGTGTGTGCGCGTGCGTGCACGCTAGTGCCAACAGTGTATGTTGAGCTCAGAGAAGAACTTAAGAGTTGATCCTTTTTCTGCCATGTGGGTCCTGGGAACCAGACTCAGGTCTTCAGACTTGGCAGCAAACACTTTTACCACTGAGTCCTCTTGCGAGCCCAAGGTGATTTTTGAAAATGAGTTTAGGGGGCTGGAGTGATGGCTCAGTGGTTAAGAGCACTGGCTACTCTTCCAAAGGACCCAGATTCGGTTCCAGCACCCACGTGGCAGTGCAAAACTATAACTCCAGTTCCAGGGGATCTGGCATCTTCACACAGACATACTTGCAGGCAAAACCTCAATGTACATAAAAAAATTTTAAAAGTCTAAAAAAATGAAACCAGGTGGTGATGGCACGTGCACGTTTAATCCCAGCACTCAGGAAGGAGACGCAGACGGATCTCTGTGAGTTTGATGCCAGCCTGGACTACAAAGCAAATTTCAGGACAGCCAGAGCTGTTATACAGAGAAAGCCTGTCTTGAAAACCCAAAAAAGAGACAGAGTTGAACATTGTGGCATATCCTGTAATCCAGTTTTTAGGAGGTTGAGGCAGGAGGATTGCCTTGAGTACAAGGCAAAACACTTTAGGGGGTCGCGGGGAATGAAGTTGTAGCTTGGAGTAGTGACATACCTACACCCATAGTTAAGTGTCTCCGCTGCCTGGGCAACTGAAGCCTGCCTAGCAACGCAGACACTACCTGAAAAAACCAGGAGGGAAGTCTGTGAGCCTGCAGATCTACTGCAGTTTACTGTGTTGTTTTGATTTTTAGATTTTGAGACAGGATTTCACTCTGTAACCCAGGCTGGCCTTGAACTTAGATGTGTGGGCCATGCCTGGCTGTATCAGAATTTCACTGGCCAGTCCAGTAGTTAGTGCCTTTGAGCTGTGTCTGAGGGGGGCCCTCTAGTGTTCTCTTTATGGCATGACAGGCACCATTGCATTCCTTGTCTGAGCATGTATGTTGGCTGGTGCCATCCTTTGCCAGGCCCACTGTGGGCAGCTGTGTTCCAGCGGTTCCGTAACTGTCTTGTGTTTGCTTTCTCCGAGCAGAAGAAGCTGACTACAGTGCCTTTGGTACGGACACCCTGATCCGGAAGAAGAACGTGCTGAGCAACGTGCTACGTCCTGACAACCATAGGAAGAAGCCCCACATCGTCATCAGCATGCCCCAGGACTTCCGGCCGGTGTCATCCATCATAGATGTGGACATCCTCCCGGAGACCCACCGGAGGGTCCGGCTGTACAAGTATGGCACGGAGAAGCCCCTGGGTTTCTACATCCGTGACGGTTCCAGTGTCCGCGTGACACCGCATGGCTTAGAGAAAGTCCCCGGGATCTTCATATCCAGGCTCGTCCCCGGGGGTCTGGCCCAGAGCACAGGACTGCTCGCTGTCAATGATGAAGTTTTAGAAGTAAACGGTATAGAGGTGTCCGGGAAGAGCCTGGACCAGGTGACCGACATGATGATAGCCAACAGCCGCAACCTCATCATCACTGTGCGGCCAGCCAACCAGAGGAACAACGTGGTGAGGAACAGTCGGACTTCTGGCAGCTCCAGCCAGTCTACCGACAACAGCCTCCTGGGCTACCCGCAGCAGGCGGAAGCCAGCTTTGAGCCAGAGGACCAGGACAGCGATGAGGACGACATCATCATTGAAGACAGTGGCGAGCCACAGCAGATCCCCAAGGCCGCCCCTGATGCCCAGAGCCTGGAGTCCCTGACCCAGATCGAGCTCAGCTTTGAGTCAGGGCAGAACGGGTTCTCCCCGACACAGGACCCAGTGCCTGTGCCCAGCAGCCTGGACACAGAGTTTGAACCCCGTGCTCCGAACCAGAGACTCTTAGAGGAAGACGGCACGATCATAACATTGTGAACCTGCCACGCGTGTTTTTCAAGTGCTACAGCTGTGGCACGAGACTGGCGCTGTGGACCTCCGGGCCTCGGTGTTCCGTGGGCAAGCCTAAAGCGTGGCTGGGATGGGCGGCTGCTGGCGGACTGATGGTGCAGGTCAGAGGCCTGGCTGCAGGGGTGGTGCTGCTCTCTGCAACACTGGATGCTGCTTCCGCCTGCAGCCCTGCTGCAGTGCTGTCTCCACCTGCCCTGCAGAGCCGATCGTTTGTCCTCTGTGATGTCTGATGTCTGCTTGGTCCACTGGGAACCTCAGTTCTTGGATTCCCAACCTTGATGTATTCTGACCCTTAAAAATGTTCCTCTGTTGGTTGTGACATTTTTTTCAAGTGCAGTTTTCATTCTGTTTTCCTAAGACTTTAGCTGGCCATGTTTAGGGGTGCTTCCCACCACCCTGCCCTGGAGTACCCCCTGTTGTTGTCTCCACCCTGTAGCTTCAGAATTGCAGGGTGCCTCAGTCCTCCTGACTGCCCTTTAACCTCTTGACCCCCAGTGGAACCCCAGTCCATTGGAGATTGTTCTCGTGTGTGCGTGTGTGTGTGTGTGGTTAGTGTGCTCCACACTCTTCCAGTGTACCAGGCAGTGTGGATCATGTTGGATAAAAGGACCCCAAGTTTAAAAGACTTAACACACAGGACAAGCGTGCACTTTTTATACAAAAGATGGAGTTTTTCTTCCTGGGGATTCTAGGGCGCTGCCGGCACTTCGGGAAGCCTGTGTCACGTTCACCACCCGAAGGGGTGTTAATTGTCTGAGTTATTTATTCTCTTCTGTGCATCCATTCAGGAGAAGGGGACAGCAGTTGTCCTCCCTCGCCTGAGGCCCTCAGTGGCATGCACAGGCACCGTGATCCACATGTGTGGATCCCCGAAGCTGACAGTTATTTATTACCTAACCGTCTGGCGGGGCATGTATGCACGCCTCCCAGTTGTGTTCTTACTACAACAGCGAAGACTCCGACTGAAGGACGCTCTTTCTCTGTGGTGAGAGCCGCGGAGTTGAAGTCTCACCCAGTGAAGGGAGCTGGACTCAATACTGACCGCATTCTTTGCAGGCACCTAGCTGAGGCTGGGCGTGGCAACCCTGTGACTTTGTTGCATTCACCGAGTTCTTCCTCTCACACAGCACCAGTTGCTGGCTGTGTCCAGCTCTGACACCGTGAGTGAGTGAGTTCGCACAGTGTGGCTCTCGGGCAGAAGGTAACATTAGGTTTGGAAGGCTCAGTTGTATTCATGAGCTAAGTAGCACATGGGCTCAACGTTGTAAGTCCAAATACTTCCACATACTACCTCTCTCTTCTCTCTCTCTATCTTTTTTTTTTTTTTTTAAACAGAGTTTTAACATTAGAACTTTCTCTTGGGGAAAACACTTCAGGGCTTGACTTTTGTACAGATTTTAACTGTAAAACACAGATTTATCTTCTGTCTGAAAATGGCGATCAAAGCTGCTGACGCTTCTTTTAATTTGGAGGACAGTAGAGTTTGCACCAAGGTCTTACTGAAATAAGTGACCCAGAGACGTCCTGTGAGGCCAACGAGCCTTGGTTGTGGGGGGTCCCATCCCGCTGGCTCGGTTCTCAATGCACCTTACGAAGCTTAGCGGCTTGGCATGTGGTTCTGTTGTTGCGAACGTCGAGCCTCACTGTGAATTCTGTTCTGCCCTCAGCTGTGTCAACAAGATGCCGTGCTGTTGTGAACCATGAATTTTCTAATTAAATTTTACATGCTATAACATGATTTTTACATGAATGATACTTTGTTTAAACTATCAAATGTCAGTATTTTACTACAATTTTATTATAAAATGTACATTATCACTAAATGAACTTTGATTTTAAAAATCAAGTTAGCTTTAGTTACATATTATTTTTTACAAATAAAGACGGACTTGTGTAAAGGCTACTTTCTTGTTTGCAGTTGTATCAACAGAGAACTTCTAGAATATTTATCAGGCATCCATTAGGTCCATAGGAGGGAGACTGAGTCACAGCTGATTCACTGACTTCCCTTTCCAGTGCCCCCGACTGAGCACATGGTCACTCAGTTACCACATCTCCACCCTGAGCTACACACCAAGCCTCTGTGTTGTTTTTGTATTTCTACAGGTCTCTCCCAATAGTTCCAGGGGCTGACACCCTCTCCTGACCTCCACAAGCGCCAGGCATGGTAGCACATGCCCTAAACCCAGCACTCTGGAGGCAGAAGCAGGTAGGCACAGGTTCAGGCCAGCCAGGGCTGCACAGAAAGACCCTGTCTTTAAGAAAATGATGTGATGTAGACAGTCCGCCCGGGAGATGTCCACCGTTATGTTAACTGATGGTTGCCAGCCAGACCTAGCAGCACAGACCTGTCCTTCCAGCTCCTGGGGTAGGCTGAGGCAGGATGGCAAATTCAAAGCCAACCTAGACAACTTACACCTGTTCTCAAAAGTGAACAGGGCTGAGACGTCGGTAGCAGAGAGCTAGCCTAACATGCATGAATTTGTAGGTTCAGTCCCTGGTACCAAAGAGTAAATGGGGTGCCAAGGCAAGGGTTCTCTCGTGAAGGAGCTCATCCTACAAGCGCGAGGGATTGAGTTCAGATCCCCAGCACCCACAAAAGAGCCAGGTGTGGTTGTATAGCCCTGCCTGGACCCGGTTGACCTGCTGCTCTGGTGGAATCAGTTCCTGATACAGTGAGAGATCTTGTCTCACAAAAATAAGCTGGAGGCCAGCAAGATGGTTCTGTGAGTAGTGGAGCTTGCTGTCACATCTTAACAGTCTGATATCAGTCCCCAGGGCCCACATGAAAGGACAAAGCCAGCTCCCTCAGGCTGTCCTCTGACTGCATCTGTGCACTGTCATGCATGCTCATGCACACAGATTTTTGTTGTTGTTATTTTTTCAGCTTCTCCATGTAGGCTGCACAGGAACTCACTATGTAGACCAGGCTGGCCTTGAAATCACAGAGATCCATCTGCCTCTACCATCCGAGCACTGGGATTAAAGGTGTGCACTATCATACCCAGCTCAAATTCTTTTTTTTTTCTTTTTTTAAAAATATTTTTATTATTTAACTTTATTTTATGTGCATTGGTGTGAAGGTGTCAGATCCCCTGCAACTGGATTTTCAGACAGTTGTGAGCTGCCATGTGGGTGCTGGGAATTGAACCCCAGTCCTCTGGAAGAGCAGTCAGTGCTCTTAACCACTGAGCCATCTCTCCAGCCTCCCCCAGCTCAAATTCTTAAAAAAAAATAAATGTCTATAGAAAAATAAAGGGGGTTGGAGAGATGGCTCAGCAGTTAAGAGCACTAACTGCTCTTTCAGAGGTCCTGAGTTCAGTTTCTAGCAACCACATGGTGGCTCACAACTATCTGTAATGAGATCTGGAGCCCTCTTCTGGCAGGAAGACATGCAGGCAGAACATTGTATCTATAATAAATAAATCTTTTTTTAAAAAAAAAGAAAGAAAAGAAAAATAATATGGAAAGCAATTGAGAAGACATAAAGTGTCAACCTCAGGTCTGCACACGTTTTCCTATGTATATACACACTCGCACATATGAACATGTGCATGTCACACACATGCGTGTGAGATAAGTGGCCATGAGTGGCTGGTGACTTCAACCTAGGCAGGACCCTCCCTGCTTGCGCTTTTGAACTCAGTTAGCTTTTCTCGCAGGCACAGGATCCCCGCCTTGTGGTGGCAAAGGTGGCCTGCAGATTCTATTCTGCTATTCAGTGTCCTTGAGCCAAGCCAGCCCAGTAACTGCATTACCCTAACCTGGGACACACGTCCCAATCTGACCTTGGGGAGGTGTTCCCTTACATCAGGATGCTAGTCTCATAGATAGAAGGCTAAGTATAGGTAGCGTCTCAATACAACAAAATCGACGTACCGGACACAGCCTGAAGAGGTGGCTCCTCCGTGGCTGAAAACCAAGGCTGCTCTTTCAGAGGACTCAGGTCTGATTCCCAGCACCCATGTCTGGTGGCTCAGAACAGCCTGTAACTCCAGCTCCAAGGGATCCAGCACCCTCCTCTAGCCTTTGTGAGCACCCACACACACGTGACAACACAGGTAAACGTCCCTCTGCAGTGGTGGGAGTCTATAGTGCTAATAGTTTTCTCTGCAGTGGTGGGAGTCTATAGTGCTAATAGTTTTCTCTGCAGTGGTGGGAGTCTATAGTGCTAATAGTTTTCTCTGCAGTGGTGGGAGTCTATAGTGCTAATAGTTTTCTCTGCAGTGGTGGGAGTCTATAGTGCTAATAGTTTTCTTGCTGGTTCAAATGTCCCGGGGCTAGAATGGGACAGGGTGGATGGGGCTGACAAATGGGGGCCCCTGAACCTTCAGAGTAGGGGGCTCAACACTTTTAGAAATACCATTTGGGTATGTGTCGGCCCAAGGCTATCTGCAGTCTGACTTTTGGGGTATTCCAGAAACCCACAGTTTCCTACAAAACGTTCTGGACCTCTGCAAGAGCTACCAGTGTTCTTAGCCACAGAACCATCTCTTCAGGCTGACCTCATTAATGTTTATTTACTTTTAAATTTGATTCTATGTGTACAAGTGTTTTTCCTGTATGTTTCCATACTGTGTGTGTGCCTGATGCCCACTGAGATCAGAAAAGTGCTTTGGATCCCAGAGAACTGGATGGAGTTACAGATGGTTATGAGCCACTCTATGGGTGCTGGAACTGAACCCGGGCTCTCTGTAAAACAAGCAGCACTCCTAACTACTGAGCCATCTCTCCAACCCCTGTTAATTTTTATTTGTTCCTTTTGTTTTGTTTTGTTTTTCGAGACAGGGTTTCTCTGTAGCTTTGGAGCCTGTCCTGGAACTAGCTCTTGTAGACCAGGCTGGCCTTGAACTCACAGAGATCCACCTGCCTCTGCCTCCTGAGTGCTAAAGGTGTGCGCCACCACCGCCCCCTCTATTAATTTTTTAAGTACTGAGTTTCACTGCAGTATTTTCAAGCGTATGTGTTTGTGTGTGGGGTCTGTGTATGAGAGGCTAGCTTAGAGTCACAGTGTAGAGGTCAGAGGGCAACGTTCAGGAGTCCTTTCTTTCCATCGCTCAGCAAGCGTTTTTACCACAGAGCCTCCTTGCTGGCCCAGTTAATCTGTCGTTTTCTTGAGATGCGGTCTTACTGTGTAGTGCTGGCTGGTCTGGAATGGACAGTGCAGATCAGAGGCTCCAACGTGAGTGCTGGGGCTGTAGGGTTGAGCCACTGCGCCTGCTCTCTCTGACTTTAGGACCGGCCTTCCTGTTATCTAGGCTGGCCTCCAACTCACCACGGAGCCCAGGATGACCTTGAACTCCTCATCTTCCTGCCTCTGACTTTAAAGTCCTGAGGACTATAAAACAGAGCCACCACACCTGGCTATTTTTCCCTGCCCCACAGGGGACTGAGTCTAGAAACTTGGACAGGCTAGGCAAGCACTGTAGCGTTGACTGGCACCCTTGGCTCTGCAGTTTCTAGCTTTAAAAAGCCCTCAAGGGGTTTGTCTTCTACCCCGCCTACTCTGGTGCCACTTCAAGGAGAGAGCGCCCATTCCCGGAGCCTGGAATTCATTTGCGGTGGTGTCACTGGCTGGCTCTGTAGACAAGGCTAGCCCCCCAGTATGGTTGAAGTTCTCACGACAGTAACTCAGTCGTCTGGAACAGTCCTGGCCTGCAGGTCACCAAGGTGCAGGAATGTGGTCCTTCAGAAACATTTCTGAAGGCTCCAGTCACTCCCCACAGCAGGGCAAGGCTCGCTGAAGGCATGCCGACAATGAGCCCCTGAGAGGTTCAGTCTGCATTTCTGTGCTGTGTCATCTGCGAGGAGAGACGCTGGCACGGGACCCAGTACAACCACCGATGCCTATCAGCACAGCCTTCTTCTCGGTCTGGATTCCCAAGATGCTTAAGGATGAGAGCAAATAGCACTCATTCCTTCATTTCTAATGCCCGAGCAGACTGCCCTCAACACGAGCACGCAGCCTCCACCGAGTTCTTCTAGAACATACCTTTGTTCCCAGGCTACCTGGCCAGGAGGGACGGAGATACTAATCAGGCTATTTCCAGCCCTCAGCCGCTTGTCTCAGGTGTGTGCCCACACCGACTGTCCCAATGTGTGCTTAGTGACTCAGAAACCCAATCATTAACTTAGCAGAGCCGGAGAGCATGGGTGAGGAGGCTGGAGGACAAGTCAGAGTGCCTGCCTTCCAAGGATGCCAGGACAGTGCCGAACACTGGCAACCGTGCCAGCCGCGTGGCTTCCCAGGGAGATGGGGGCGATCTTTGACTCGGTTGGAATCAGAAAGCGGCTACAACTCCGTGACCCCACACAGGGTACCACTTCTTTGGGTGAATCACGGGGAAACCTCTGGTCTCCAAACCTGCAGGGGACTGCTGAGATGGCTCAGCAGGACAAGACACTTGCCACCGATCCTGATGCCGGAGTTTGATCCCCCAGATCCACTTAGCGGAAGGAGAAAGCTGACTCCTGAAAGTTGACCTCTGATGTCCAAATTCATAAGATGGCAACATGTACCTACATGTGCATACATAAATAAATGCAAAAGAGAATTCAGAAAATAAGTAAAAGCACATGAGGCCCGGAGTTACAGCCCAGTTGGTAGAGTGCTTGTCCCGCAGCCATGGGTGCCATTCTATCCCCAGCACAGCGCTCACAGCGTTAACTCAGCATTTCGGTACATGTCTGGTTGTCAGCATTCTGGAGGTAAAGGCCAGAGGGTCAGGGGTTCAAAGGTCATCCTCAGCTACAAATTTGAGACTGACTTGAGCTACATGAGACCCTATTAATAAATAAATTTTTTTAAAAATTTATTTTTATTTCATGTGTCCTGGTGTTTTCGCCTGTATGTATGTCTGTGTGAGGGCATCAGACCCCCTGGAACTGGAGTTATAGACAGTT